AAGTAATAAAATTATAATAATCTTTACTCTAATCAATGATTATTTTTAATAATAAAAAAAAATTGATAGTTTTGTGTTTTATAAAACAAATAAATAATAAGATAAAAAAATCAAAAATAAATTAAAGTAAAAAAATCCCTTTTTATTACAATTCAAACTGACGTGTCAGTCTTCATGTTTTTTCAATGGAAGAAAGGAAAATAGAAAAAGAAGGGGGGTTAATTATTTTGAGAAGTTGACAAAAGAAAATGACAAAAAATAATCATAAAATACAAAATAACACTTAAAAGGAAAGTCATTAGACAGACAAACTTGAAAGAAAAGAACGATCACAACACTGAATCACAGCTTTTTTTAAATCGAAACAATGATGAGTTAAATAATCATTGGTTTGTACTCCAATTACTGGAATTTCTTTATTTAAAATAGTTACATTCGGAGATATTACTTTTTGGATAGTTTCAACAATTTGGGCACCTTTTTTTCCTGAAGTCCATTTTGATACAAAGCTATAACCAAATTCTGTTAAAAGATCAATCAAAAGATGAAGTTGTTCTGTGATTTTATTTGTATCGTATCTTCTTCTTGCAGTCTTTTCTGGTATACCATTTGATAAATCTTGTAAATACTTTTCTTTACATCTTTGTTCTACATATTCTTCAACTTTTATTGAATCATTACCTCTTCTAAGTTCATTTATTTTGAAGTATTGACGAGTTACAACTGATCGTTTTGTAGGTATTTGAAGGGTAATTTCAAAATGTTTATTTAATAATGCTAATAAAATCCCTTGTTGATAGACTTGATAATTACGTAATTTGAAGAAAGCTTCATTTATCTTTCTTTGGTTTCTATCTTTATTTTTCATTTTATTTTTGTCTGATTGCATAAATTTGCTTAGCGAATTAATTTTTTTCAGATTCTCTGCTTTTTGTTGCAGTATATGTAGAATATTTAAATCGTTTATTCTATCAATAATATCAATATTTCAGTTATTATTTAGAATTTATTATTTTGTTTAATATATGCAGGTTTTCAAGAATATATTCTTCCTTTGCAATTTTTTATAGTCTATGAAATAAAAGGGAAATTCGATTTTAAAAATACTCTGATTAGATTACCAATTAAATATCTT